CCCGAAAACGCCAGCTACGTTGGACCCTATCCGCCTCAAGAAACCTACGACCCTGATGGGATGAACGCCAAGGAGAGGGAAAAGTTTTAAAATGGTACCACGAACGCAAACAGGACACGTTTGATTTCAGCAGAGAAATTCTAGCCTATTGCCAGAGCGACGTCGATATTTTGAGAAGAAGCTGTGGAGAGTTTCGTCGCATCTTCCTTAACGACACCGGAATCGATCCACTAGCCTCGAGCATGACGTTGGCAGCGGCGTGTAATCGAGTGTACCGAACGCATTATTTGCCCCTGGACACTATTTCCATCATTCCTAGAGCATTGATGCAGAATTCCGGAATGGGTACAGATTGGCGGCGATTCCAACCCCGACAGCAGTCCAACAAAGCATTGAGATGGTTAGAATGGGAACAACATACTCGATTTTTAGCCTCATTACGGAACGGAACGACCAAACCCAACATCAGGCACGCAGGCAATGGAGGAGAAATAAAAGTTGGACCGTACAGTTTGGATGGTTATGATCGGGACAACAACGTCGCCTACGAATTTTTTGGTTGTGCCTTCCACGGTTGTCCCACGTGCTATCCTGGACCCGTTCAAGACGTCAAACATTTCCACCCTTACGACCCCTCACGAACCATGAGGAAACTGTACGCTCAAACCATGCAACGACTAAATGATTTGAAAACCAAGCTCGGTCTGGGGGACCTCGTGACCGTTTGGGAGTGTCAGGTGGAATCGCAGAGACGGACCAACCAAAACATGGAGGAATTTTTCCACGCTTTGGAAACAAACGGCTGGCCACATCCCGAACCACTCTTTCCCCGAGACGCTTTTTTCGGCGGAAGGACCAATGCCATTCAACTGATGGCCGTGCCTAAAGAGAACGAAGAAATCCGATACTTGGACGTGGTATCCTTGTATCCATACATTTGCAAATATGGTCGGTTCCCTATCAACGAACCCGAGATCGTCGTTTCACCAGATCAACAGAACTGGCAGCAGTACGAGGGATTAATACAATGTAAAGTCGTACCACCGAGACGACTCTACCACCCCGTTCTGCCTTTCAGATGGAACAACAAAACCACGTTTCCGCTCTGTCGTTCTTGTATTATGGAGAATATGCAGGAGTCTGAGATTAGCGAATACGTGCCTTGTGCCCATTCCGACGACGAAAGAGCCTTGGTCGGCACCTACGTGTCCCTCGAACTGAAGAAAGCCGCTTCTCTGGGGTATAAAGTCATTCAAGTCTTCGAAGTGTGGCATTGGTCCGAAGAAAAATGGAGTCAGTACGACACTCAGACCAAAACGGGAGGGTTGTTCACGGGATACATTGACCACTACTTAAAGACTAAAATGGAAAGTAGTGGTTACCCTTCGGAATGTCGCACGGACCAAGAAAAAGCCCAATTTATTGCAGACGTCTACCAAAAAGAAGGCATTAGTCTCGATCCTGCTAAAGTGATCTACAACAACGGAATGCGAAGTTGCAGTAAGCTAAAGCTCAACATTTTATGGGGTAAATTTGGTCAACGGGACAATTTCAGTCAAACGGAATACATTACCGAACCAGAGAGATATTTTGATCTTCTGACGGATGTCACGCAATCCATTAAAGACGTACAATTGGTCAACGACAACATGGTGATGGTGGAACGATTGAAATTGGAAGAACACGTACAGCCTTCTCAAATCACCAATGTCGTCATTGCCGCTTTCGTCACGGCGCAGGCT